ATAGGCCTGTAGTGCTATGAACTTCCCTCTGAGGACTGCTTTTGCTGTCTCCCATAGATTTTGGGTTGTTGTGTGTTCATTTTCATTTTTTCCAGGAAGTTTTTGATTTCTTTCTTGATCTTACTGGTAACTTATTCATTGTTTAATGAGGTAAAATTTAAATGACAGTTTTGAGGGTTTACTCTAAATAACAGCAGGAAAATGGGATAGAGTCTAAAAGAGGATTTGGAAACAAAGGAGGATATTTTATTCTTAGTAAGAAATAGCACAGCATGTTTTTTGTGCTGAGAGTAACCTAGTATGCCAGACTATTGATGCATGTGAGAAGATAACAGCAGGAGCAAAGTCTTTGAGTAGGGGAAGCGGTAGAATCCCATGCACAGTAGAGGTTTTGAGCCTAGATGAGTGTGCAGAACATCTACTCACTGTAACAGAAAAGGCAGAACATAATGAATGTAGATTTGGAAAGTTTGATGGTATAAGGATGAGGAAGTTATTTTCTGATTGCATTTGTTTTGTACCGAGAAAACTTGAGAAAAGTCATCAAAACTGGAGAAAAGTCATCAGGTGAGAGAGGACAAGGGAGGGAGTATTGGAGCTTTGAAAAGAAAACAAAACAAAAGACAATATTAAATAGTTCTCTAAGAAAATGAGTCACAGGCAGTGCTTGAGAGCCAAGTGAGATCAGTAGGCATGGTTCTGCAGTTTCATGAGAGTTCAGGTTTATGCAAAGGAGTGATTTTTAATGATGGGCCTTAGAGTTCAAGCAATGCAAGGGCAAGAAAGAGGTAATAGCCAGAGAGAAAGTGGTGGAGTCAATGGATTAAAATTCCTGATAGAGTCAATGAATTATTTGAAGAAGACTGTTAGAGGAAATGAGCTAGACAAAACATATTATATAGAGATGGTATTGGAACATAGAAATAGGAAATTTCAGAGGTGGTGTGGTTATTGTTAACATCCAGTATAGGTAGTGGAGGAGTCCAGAGGATTGGACTCCTCAATCCCTGTGTATAACACCACCATGAATTATGACAGAAGCAGAGATGAAGAAAAAGACTGAGTCAGGAGTTTAAATATTTAAGGAATAAGGGGAGAGTCGACCAATAGGACAATAAATGTCTAGAGCAAAGCAGAGCAGTGGATGCTATGATTTCATGTACTTCAGGGAAGCTAGGGCTACCAGAGGAAGATCATCAGTCATCTGGAAGCTGAAATTAGTATTAAGAGGAATCTCAATCCCATCTCTAGGCCTAGTCTTTCAGGATTATAAGAATAAAACAGCTCAGTTAGAGCATGTCCCATGCACCGAGAGGTTGCTTGTTCAGTTTTAGGTCAGGGCACATGCCAGGGTTGCAGGCTTGATCCCCAGTAGGGGGCATGCAGGAGACAGCTGATTGATGTTTCTCCTTCTCCCTTCCTCTTTCTCTAAAAAAGCAATTTAAAAACATATTTTCTTAAAAAAGAAGAAGAGTGAGATCCAAGTTGGCGGCAGATTGGATGGAAGCCACACTGACACTCTCCCAGGACCAAACTGGAGTTACAACTAAAATATAGAAAAAACACCCTGAATAATCAACTGCAACTGAAGACAAGCTAGAGACCCTCATAACCAAGGACAAAAAGTGGAGACCACATAGAGACTGGTAGGAAGTGCAAAGGTGTGAGAGGGCTGGCTGGGCTCCCACAGGCAGCAGCTGAAAGTCCAGAAGGATATCTCAACTCTTGGGGATTCCCACTGAGAACTATGGAGTCTAAACCCCAAGCTGGGTTCCCCAGCCCAGAGCACCAAAACTGAGAAAGGTACCCACATAACATCTGGTTGTGAAAATCAGCAGGATTTCTGTGCCAGGGAGAGGCGGCTAGAAATGCAGACACCCTCTTAAAGGGGAAATGGATGGTTTCGGGTGCAGCCACTCACCTTGGGCTCTGGCGAAGGGAAGGCAAAGTGGACTAGAGTAGCGTGAGGAGAACCCAGGGGGTTTGCTGGGGGAATAGATCTCAGAGGGCACCCATCTAGACCCCAGTGCTGACTCATTCCCCCATGGGAAAGAGGATATCTCTCAGGCAGACATTTACCTTCCAAGCAGCTTTTGTCTGGGGGAGAAACAATTGCCCCACCCAGCTAGAAAACCTCCGGCCCCACCCTATGGAGTTTCTACAGCCTGAGGCTCATTAAAAGACTGGATGACAGCCTCTGTGTGTTTTGAATCTTTGCCTGATTTGCTTCTGGACCCAGGGCTTGGAAAAGCAGACCTTGGTGCACATCTTGGTCCTGTCCAAACACACTCAGTTCCAGCAGAGAAAACCAGAAGCTGTAGAGTGTGGAAAACTTCAAACAGGGTACTCAAGGCCAGTCACAGTGTCTGACATTGGCCTGCATCATAGACCATCCAAAAGTCTGAGAGTCCTAGCAGATCTACCTGATACATAGAACCAAATCCAAACAGGCAGTCAAAATGGGGAGACAAAAAAAAAACAAGCCCCAAATGAAAGAACAAAAGAATTCTCCAGAAGAAGAATGAAATGAAATGGAGATAAGCAGTCTGTCAGACATAGAGTTCAGAATACTGATCATAAAGATGCCCAACAGCATGAAGAAAGATATAGAAACTATGAAGGAAATTAAGAACAACATAGTAGAAATAAATAATACATTGGAAGGAATGAACAGCAGATTAGGGGAAGCTGAGGATCAGATCAGTGAATTAGAAGACAGGGTAGAAAAAATCACTCAATCAGAGATCCGAAAAGAAAAAACAATTAAAAAACAGGAGGACAGTTTAAGGGAGCTGTGGGACAACATGAAATGTAACAATATTCACAACATGAAATGTAACAATATTCACATCATAGAAGTGCCACAAGAGGTCGAAAGTAAGCAAGGGTTAGAGAACCTGTTTGAAGAGGTCATGGCCGAAAATTTCCCTAATCTGGTCAAGGAAAAAGTCACACGAGTTCAGAAGGCCACAGAGAGTCCCAAGCAAGAAGAACCCAAAGAGGCCCATACCCAGACACATCATAATTAAAATACCAAAAATTCAACATAGAGAGAATCTTAAAGGCAGCAAGAGAAAAGCAAGCTGTTACCTAGAAAGGAGCTCCCATAAGGCTGTCAGCTGATTTCTCATCTCTGATGAGAAACTACAGACCAGAAGGGAATGGCTGAAGTATTCAAGGTAATGCAAAACAAGAATCTGAAACCAAGACTACTGTATCCAGCAATGCTTTCATTCAAAATAGATGGTGAAATAAACAACCTTCCAGATAAAAAAAGGCTAAAGTAATTTATCACCACCAAACCAGCATTGCAAGAAATGTTAAAGGGACTGCGGTAATAAGAAGTTGAAATAGAGAGAATGAGAAACATGGGCATAAAGAAATAAAATGGCAATAGATAAGTGCCTATCAATAATAACCTTAAATATAAATGGATTAATTGTCCCAATCAAAAGACATAGGGTACATGAATGGATAAAGAAACAAGACTCAAATATATACTGTCTACAAGAGACCCACCTCAGAACAAAAGACTGATATAGGCTAAAAAAAAGAAACTTCTGGAGGACTTTGAAGGAGAGATTGACAGCAATACTGTCATAGTAGGGGACTTCAACACCCCACTGACTTTACTGGATAGATCTTCCAGACAAAACATCAACAAGGAAACAGTAACTCAAAATGACTAGATCAGATGGATTGAATTGACATTTATAGAACATTCCACTCCAAAGCTGCAGAATAGGCATTCTCCTCAAGTGCACATGGGACATTCTCAAAGACAGACCACATTAGGACACAAAACAAGTCTCTACAAGTTCAAGACTGAAATCATATCAAGCATCTTCTTGGACATTTACAGAATGGAATACTATGCAGTTATAAAAACAAAGAATCCCTTACTCTTTGAGAAAGCATGGTGGGACCTAGAGAGTATTATGCTAAGCAAAATAAGCCAGAGAAAGACAAGTGTCACACGATCTTACTCATATGTGGAATCTAATGAACAAAATAAACCAATGAACAAAATAGATCCAGAGACATAGAAGCAAGGAACACACAGGCGAATCTCAGAGGGAAGGCAGGA